TGAGAGTTTAGGATGATATGATATTTTGTTGTAGTTGCGTGAATGTGTATGAGAGAAAAAGTAATTGATTGATATATAGGAGGGAGAAATTGATTTTGAAATTTTTTTTTTAAAAAATTAAAAAATTTGAACTAAACAAAATTTTAAAAAAAATTCTCAAAAATTGTATCTTAAGATACAAACCAAACAAAGCCAATTTTAAGGTGAGTTTTTTTATATTTTGAGTTATTATAAATTGTTTTATGTAAAATTTATTTTGCAAATTATATTAGTTTTTAAAATATATTATTTGTTAAATGAACCCTATTTGTTTAAAAATGAAATCCATGGATATAATTATTTTATAAATGTGTTTTTGAACAATTATTTGTACATGACCATTGACCCTATGACATTTCCATACCTTGGGAGACTTTAATAACTATTGGTCCTTTGACGGTCTAATGCCTTAGGGGCTTTAATATCTATTGGCCCGGTCACATGCCTTGGGACTTTAATATCCATTGACCTTTTGAATTATTACTTTATGTGACCCTCTGTTCTGTTCTATTCTATTGTTACTTTAAGTGACCCTCTGTTTGTTATGGATCTATTGACCCTCTGTTCTATTTTATTGTCACTTCTGTGACCCTTTGAAGGTCCCATACCTAGGGACTCAAATATCTAGCCCTCTGAAGGTTCTATGTCTGGGGACTTAAATATTTAATCATTTGAAGGTACTATATCTAGGGGACTTAAATATCCATTGACCCTCTATTCTATTCTGTATCGTGATTATGATTATTTTGCTTATATAATTTTTTGTATTATATGTTCAAACTAAACTATTTTCTGTTTAGCATGAATAATTATGCATGTGATTTTTATACATTTATGCTCTAAATATAATACTTCTCACTTTGTCATGTGCTTATAGGTGTTAACCATTTTCAGGTGACATGTCAGGACTAGTGCATGAGGTAGGCACAAGGCACTTGTACTCATAGTCCAGCTCTGACAATATAATTAAATAGAAACTTCAATATATATGTTTTTGTTATAATTAAATAAAGTTCTAGGTATCCTTTTATGTTACATCGCTATACTATTAATTTGTTAAGATTTTAATTTTTGTTTTATTGCGACATCGAATCTCCGGATACCGGGTTTGGGTCGTGACATGATAACTAATCCAATTTGACACAAATTTAAAAAAAAAATAATTAATTTTTAATTTGTTACAAATGAAAGGTGTTTGGAGTTTGCTTATTTATTAATTTTTTTTGGCTTCTTTTCATTGTTAGTGAACTTTTTTTAAACGTTTTGAAAAAGTTTTAAGTTTCTAGATTTAACGTGACGAACTTAAAAATTCAAAAAAAAAAAAAAAATCTAGAAAAGAGAAAAATAAGCCAAAGGTAGTAGTAGATTTTTTTTTTATTTTTTGTGTGCGCGCGCGCTTATTTTGGCTTTTTTCAAATTTTTATTTTTTGAAATTAAAAAAAAAAAATTGCTTCTTAGATTCATCTACACAAGGCGGACCGAGAAAGTAAATTTTTTTGATAATTTTTTATATAAAAAAAAAGTCATTAAAGACAAACCAAAAAAAAAAAAAATTATTAAAAAAAAAAAAAAAAAAAACCCAAGAAAGGAGCGAGCTTTTTTAAGTGTTGCAAAAGATAAACCCTAAACTTGTTGTTGTAGAATTTAATTTACTCTTTAATTAATAATTATGTGAAGTTTCAATTATAGTTGTTGTAATTATATTAGTTTAATGTACATTGTTGGACATATTCACAAAAATTCTAAGGTGGTGTTTGATAAAATTGAAAATTAAAAATTAAATACTGAAAATTAAGTATTGAAAACTGAATGCTGAATTTTTTAAATTAAAAAATTATTTGATAAAAATTTAAGTAAAGAACTAAAAATAAGTTCTTTGATATGTATAAGATCAAATTTGAAATTTATTATTTTTAAATAAATTACATGTTTTAATTTTTATATTGTGATTGTGATGGTGATGGTGATGGTGATGGTAATGGTGGTGGAGGCGGCAGCGGCAGCGATGGTGGTGGTGTAGTGTTGATGGTGACGGTGGCATGATAGTGGTGTAGTATTGATGGTGGTAGCGATAGTAAAACAATGGTAGTGCTTATGGTAACAATAACAAAGGTGATAAATGTGATGGTAGTAGTGGTAGTGGTGATGGCATAATAGTGGTGACGATGATGGCATGATGGTGGTGATGGTAGCAGCGGTGGTAGTGGTGGTAATGGTAACGATGGTGGTGGTGGTGGTGACAATGGCAAGATTGTGGTGGTTGTGGTAACATGATGGTGGTGGTAGTGGTAGCGATGATGATGGTGATAGTAGTAGTGATAGTGGTAGTAATGGTGATAACGGTTGTGGTAGTGGTAGTGTTGGTGGTGGCGTGATGGTGATAACGGTAGTGGTGGTGGCATGATAGTAGTGGTAGTGGTAGTGAGCGACATGATGATGGTGGTGGTGCGTTTATAATAGTGTATATCAATGATTATCTTTAGTATTTATAAATTCACAGTCAGAATTAAGTAAATTTATTATGACTTAAGTTTTTAAAAATTTTAGTTTACATTTTAAGAGACACTTAAATTTTTAAGTGATATTAATTGTGGTTATATTTTAGTGATATTAATTTTTAAGTAAGTTTATATTTTATTTTATTTTTATAAAACTTTTAGATACATTCAGATTCATTTAAAAAGTAAAAAAGTTTAACCAAAATAAAAAAAAAATTTACAAATTACTAAAAACAAACTAAAATCCGAACAAAAATACACATAGATTTTTTTTGTTTTTAGTGATTTTTTTTAATTTTTTTTTTGTCAATTTGTTTTTCTTTTTGAATACATCTTGATTAGATACATCTAAATCTAAAAAGAACAAAACTTGACTAAAACATTAAAAATATCATTAAAAATAAAGGAAAACTTACCTAAAAATAATTTGTAAAAAATCAAATCAAACCAAACGGACACTAAATTTTTGAACGATAGTTGATATTAGCATTTGCATTAGTTGGAAATATTTCAAGATTTTCAGGTTCAAGTCTCATTACCTCTCAATTATCTCAATCATTTGTTTGTCAGTACACCTATAAAATCTTAGGTGTAAATAGGAATTTCAAAATTATACAAGTTTCCTATTTTACTTGTTCTACATTGATTTCTTACAAATTTAGACTTAATTTTTGAAACATTTTTTTTTTCCATCAGTCATCTGGAATGTTGACATTTAATGCAAGAATGTTGATATTCTTAGATGAGGCAAGAATGTTGACATTTCTTTTTTGATGGAATTTAATTTGGCTTCTAAAATCTCTAGATTTTTATTATAAATACAAGCTTCTTCTTTGTATTCAATACATAGAAAAAGGTATTCTTGCTCTTGCACTTTACATTCTATTTTTTAAAAAAAATGATATACGTCCCAAATTTTCTACTAAATAATTGATCAAATCACATCCATGTGAGACATTTAGTTATTTATTTGGTAAAAAAATTAGTATCTCTAACTGTACCCTTCTTTTTAAGTAGGCTTCATTAAAGGTTGGTTCGTTCATCTCCTTCACTGAGAGTACATACTGGAAGAAGATAGGCTGTGGATCCTGGAGGGTAGCCAATGACTTCTTTCGGTCTCACATTACCGTTAATTTTGCGTATCTTTATTTTTCCAACACAAAACAGAATTACACTTAAAGACGAGTGTTATTAGTTTAATAAACATCGTCTTTACACATAACAAGTGTTAATCTGATGTTAGATTATGTTTGATTCCCTCGACCAGACCAAAATTTTCCTCCTTTCCTTGCCACTCACATGAGTACGGATGTAAATGGTTCGGTTCAGTCGATGTTAAGAGTATATTTAGCATCAAATCGATCCATTCGGTTTTTATGATTAAAAAAACAATGCAGACTGCATGCTACAGTTTAATTTTATTAGTTTTGTTAGTTTGATTTAAAAGAGAAATTTGCATTAAATTTTAAATTTTACATTAAAAATAAATAAAAAAGTGCTCTATAAATATTTTTCTCCCTAATTTTTATCACTAAAGTGTTTTATATTAATTACTTCTCGTATAATGTTCAAAAAATTATAATATAAAAATACTTAAATATAATAATATTCGGTTGGTTCAATTTACATTGATATAAAAAGTTTCAAAATCAAAACAGACTAAAATCAAAAACTAAAATTTCAGTCAATTCTGATTGATCTGCTCGATTTTATCAAATTTTCTTACATCCCTACACATGAGTTCTGTGGCAAACTTTTTCAAGTTTTTTTGCATAAAAAATTATTCCAGAGAATACTAATTCCTAATGGAACAATTTTTCTTACATCCCTCCACATGAGTTTTGTGGAACAATTTGCTATATATTTATTCTAATGGATTTTCAACTTGAAGGGGTACATTGCATCAGTAATTATTCCAGAGAATCCTAATTCATAACTTGGATCAAAATTCTACACCAAACACCAATAGGGTGAGCGAAGAGAGAGCGCGCGCTCTAATAAGCCATAATTTTCTTCTTGCTTTAACTTCTTCTTTTTTTTTAAATAATATTTCACCTTTTTGTTTTCACATTTCAACAACCATTTAATTATTATATACAGAAAAAAACAAAAACAAAAACAAAAACAAAAAACTATTTTTAAAGATGAAAAGAGGAAAAGCAACTACAACTGCACTGGGTGCATTCTTGAGGCCCCGGTCTATATATACAAATGCTTTTCAGGCCTCAGGAATTCAACTTGAAGGGGTACATTGCATCAGTAATTATTCCAGAGAATCCTAATTCATAACTTGGATCAAAATTCTACACCAAACACCAATAGGGTGAGCGAAGAGAGAGCGCGCGCTCTAATAAGCCATAATTTTCTTCTTGCTTTAACTTCTTCTTTTTTTTTAAATAATATTTCACCTTTTTGTTTTCACATTTCAACAACCATTTAATTATTATATACAGAAAAAAACAAAAACAAAAACAAAAACAAAAAACTATTTTTAAAGATGAAAAGAGGAAAAGCAACTACAACTGCACTGGGTGCATTCTTGAGGCCCCTGGTCTATATATACAAATGCTTTTCAGGCCTCAGGAAACCTCTCCTACAATAACAAATTTTTTTTTAAAAAAAGAAAGAAAGCCATAAGAAAACATATACAAAAGGCAGCCTTCCAGCGCACCTCAAACAGCATTCATTATGCTCTTTCCCAAGCCGCCACTGCTGCCAAAGCCCATGGTCTCATCGCAGAGCCCATTAGTGGCTTTGGTCACTAGGCCCGAGCCCCTGCATTTGCAGCAAACAAACCTAGCAGGAACCGCCTCTGAGTCGGGTATCCCAGCACACCTAGTGTGCTGCCACACTCCACACACATCACAGGCTAACATTCTCTCACCATCATCATCCTTAGCACCACAATTGCAATCCACAGTCCATCGCTCCATTCCCCTCTCCATCCTAAACCTGCTCAACCCGTTTTTCCCAAAGCATCTTCCCCGGACTCGCACAGATTCAGTTGACCCTAACAAGAGCCTGAGCTGGGTGGATTCATCAACACCACCATAGCCAAGTAGCTCTTCAGCTAGAAATCTTCTGAACATCAGATACACTTCTTGAAAAGCCTTTGATGCCTCAGTCTTAAGGTCACAAATGGTAGCATTTGGTGATAGCACAAGTAGTTCCGGAGGTGGATTAGTGACATAGTCTTCAGATTGTTCCATAAGTTCCACATCACATGAGAGGCATATTGTGGATGGGTTCTCAAAATTCAACTTGTTTTCGGGATTGTAATCTTTCACAAATTGCTTGCAATCAAGAAGCTTTGTAGCTGATCTGACTGCAAGATCTCTATTTGCCTGAGGCCCATTGTACAGCATGGTTTGAGGGTGGAGAAGGGATTCATACAAGAATCTCAGGTCCCGCAGTAAATGTTCTTCAGAAGGGTGGTTTGTGACTGCAGAATTGGTGCCGGTGGTATTTCCATTAACTAGACTACCTGGCTCAAGTCTGTAACAAGTAAAAAAGAGAAATATATATTAGACACAGTTTCATAATTTAAAATTAATAGTTATCAACTCTCCAATTTACTTTTTTCTGGCGTAACTTGTTCTAAAAAAGAAAAAGAGATGAGCACAAATTGTGCAGACAGGGAAATTGCTCACCTGTACTCTATAGCACCCGAATCAGGATTACACCGGGCATGTACAACCATCCCATCAGCGGTACATTTCCCTTTCAGTTCCTTGAGGCAGTAATCCAGAAGCTCTGGAGGAGCAACTTTGCATACAGCACCCCTAAGAGCACGCCAAGTCACCCAGTTGGGCCCAGTAACTGCCCGTAATACTCTAAACATTGCTTCTACCACCCGTTCGATGTCACTGGTAGTCCACGCACACAAGGTACTTGAGGTGCAAAACCGACGCTTCTTACCATTAACATCATCAACCCTTGATGAACCTTTGCGGACATCATGGATCAAACTCATCAAGAAACACAAGAGGTCTCTAATATTTACAAGCTCACGCTCTGACAAGGACTGATAAAAAAAGATAACATCCTGTAACCGAGTGCGAGGTTTCCGTCCTTGAGAGAGAGAGTTGGATAACGGTTGTTTAGAAAGGGTTTCTACAGCCGCTTTGTAGGCGTCAAGAGTGAGAGCAAAACTACCAGCACCAAACTCATAACCCCAGTCCCCATACCATGGACGGCCCTTGGTGATAGCATATAGTAGTCGGTACTCCAACCCGTACTTCTTCGACACGTCCATCACACTGACCTTTCTGTTGTGTTAAAAAAAAGGTCCAACTAAAATTAAAGTATTTGGTTTGAATTCTTCTAAAACTAGAAATTATAAAGACAAAGGGAGTTCACTTAGATATCTATCATGAACAACCAAGCCCTCAAAGATGCCAATGTCACCTTTATTGATAGAAACAAAAAAGTGTGCTTAAGTACAATAAAAAATTCTAACCTGACACCAAGTACTTTACACAGCCGATCCCAAAAATCCATGATATGACGTCCAGCAAGCACCCTTGAGCCACCTTCTCTGCCGTTGACCCTAAGAAGGTGCCCAAAGCCATTCGCGTGGACCACGCCATGCAGAAGATGAGTTGTGTCCTCCAACTGGTGATACATCCAGTCTTCTACATCTTCTGTAGTCATAACATGGTTGCATGACTTGCACCTGGAAAGTGATACAACTTATTCATAAATAATGATGAAAAATATTCTCAAAGTCATCAAACGTGGGGAATAAATTTTAGTATATTTAAAAAAAAAATCATAGAGGACAAAGCAATTTGGAAATCAAATTTAACAAGTTGACCACACAAGCTTCCATCAATATTCAAGAACAATAATTATATGCGAGTAAGTATAAAAGAGACAATACATGGTTCACCTCAATAGTTACAAACAAAGTCACCCTACTACCTATGCATAATAACATTTATAGTTTTAAACAAGATAACCTAGAAAGATTGCCAAGGTCCTACACTTATTTCACATTTCATCGGTTCAATGCAATAGCAAAAGTAAATTATGCTTTGTTAATTATTCATGCCAAAGGTCTTTGCAAGCTTTTTTTTTTTTTTCTTTTTCTGACACACTATGCAATTGATCCATGATTCTTTGAATTTGCATCAGTTTTATTAACCAATGACATCACATTAGCCTGCACGCAAGTTGCAAAAGGCAGCGTAACTGAAAATCAGAGATACAACAAGATGAAAGGCATTCCAATGAACAAACATGTCCCATAAATTAAAAAACACAATTTCTTTATAAAAGGAGCAGAACATAAAAAAAAAATTCTGCCAATTAGAGAATGAAGCTAAAAAAAAAAAAAAAAGTATTCCTAATTTAAAAACCTTGCACACCCTTAATCATATGAAAAAACAAGAAGCACATAAATATTTTTTTTTTGAAAGTAGACCATCAAATTAAACAGCAAATGCATAATAGAGACAGTTTATAGCAAAGTATTTAAATAAACAAATAAATACATATCGATCACATGAACACATTGTTATAGAAGACCAGATTAAGAGCATGTTACGGGTTAAAAGAGAAAAGGGTGTTCACTCACCTAGACTCTGAGAGGAGAAGAACATCCCCACAACCGGCACAAGACTTCTGATAGCCGCCAATGGAACTGCCATCTGATTTTATTATGAAATGATAACGCTTCGCGCACACTGGATTACCACTCCAACCTTTGAAAAACAAATTCAGAAAAAGATAATAAACACCCAAAAAATGAGATTCCATACAATTCCAAATTATTCATTCTACAGGTATAACTGCAAATTTAGATATATTGCGAAATTAGAAGTTAGGCTCACAAAAATGAAACAGGAGAGAGAATTTAAAATCACTTATAAATTTACTTTACTCATACTGTTATGATGGCAAGGGTGAGTTTTAATTGATTGATTTCTAACCAAATTAAAATATGACAGTTATGCTCTAATTGGTTCACTAGAATGAGTTAGAATAGAATGGAACGATAATTGTTTTGGCTCTCATTTGGAATGACCATTCCTTTTAAATGGTGAATGATGATTCCATTTTTAATGTATTTTGTCATTATTTTTTTAATCAACCAAATATAAGAATGAACATTTTGATGCCAAATGCTACCTCAATGTCTTGGATTGGTAAATTTAAAATGATAATTTAGAGGTATTAAAAGCATTTTTTTGAAAGAGTAAAAAAAGACTTTTTCCATTGCACTGAAATTCTCGACCCATTAGTTTTTGCACACAGAGAGACCGATTTAAATCACAAAACAGTTGAACAAATCACAACTTTTATTGTCTCAAAGAAGTGAGTCCACAATTTCAGTTAGTCAATACATATTTTCAATTGAATCCTCAGGATCAATCGAAAATCGTATTTTGTTGGGTGAACAAAACCATTTTAATTATACACGATCAATCAATTTCGTATTTTGTTAGGTGAACAAAACCAATTTTTAGGATCAATCGAAAATCGTGCTTGGTTAGGTGAACTAGGATAAGTAAAGTTATTTGTCATTTTGTTGAATTTACAAGTTAGCCCTCGCATACACAAACAAAAAAAGTTAGTTTGGGCAAGTGGAAAATATGGGAAAAAGTAGGGGCCACAATAAAGCAAATTCTTAGGAGTTGTCTGTCTCTTTAAACAAAGAAACGGCCAGTACGTCGCCACGTGCCAAGGTCGTTTGACTACACCTAATCAGAGTCCTTCCCCCACATCTCTCTCTCTCTCTCTCTCTCTCACTCTCAACTCAGGTGGGACCCATTCACCAACTATTTAAGATATTTCACGAGTGGGTCCCGCAAACCCAGCGTGTCTAAACACTTAACCATAGTGTGTACTACTCACACGAGAAACCAGTGTCCTTTAGTAGTAATTATCATGATCATCAGGGGTCTAATCATTTTGGCCTATTTTGACCATTCAATTAAAAGCAAAAGAAAACTAGGTTTTTAGTTTTTTTTTTTTTTTAAATCACATCACATTTTTTTTAACATATATTTTTTAAAAAAAATTATAAAAAAAAACTAAAAACTTGATTTTTAACCTTCTCCAAAATAGGGCATCACCATTTCCATCATAATAGTCCAAATCTATGATTAGATTTGTTTAGGATGTAAATTGATTTTTTAATTATTTTAATTTAAGATTAAAAAATTTTATTTGAAATGAATTTTTCGAGTTTTTAAATTTTATAAAAAAAAATATAATGAATTGAATATGACATTTTACTATATTTATTTAGGAATTATTTGAGATAATCGAAATAAATGTATTTTTTAATTTTTTATAAAATATAAATTAAATTTGAATTAGATTTAAAATAATATGTTAAAAATATGATATGATTTAAATAAAATGATATGATTTAAATAGAACATTGACTTTTCAATTTTTTTAGACGAAGCCAAACCTTGCCTTAAAATAATTTATTTTAACATTATTTTAGTCCAAACGCTCCCACCAAAAGAGGCCTTAATACCGTGGGGTCCATCTTATCTGACCCATAAGATCATCAGATCAGACAAATCGCACGGCTCAGATTGAACGGGTCCAATTACCATATTAAAATAGCAGTGTACAGGAAATTTCCCCCGGGGAAAAAAATAAAAAATAAAGCAACTATTATCCGATTTCCCGCCTAAACCGGCTACCGGAATCTGACGAAAACCGAAGCGAGTTGTATAACAACGATAATAATAATAACAATAAAGCATATATGACCCCCAAAAACAAAAAAAAAATACAAACTGAGTCACCGAATCGGTAACGACTCGGTAGAGAAACTCACCGACGACTCGGCACTGATCGCAGTATACGGATCTAGATCTGGCCACGTCCTCCTCCACGACGTCGAGGCACACCACCGCCGGCGAAGTCTCGTCGGCTAGATCACCGACTCGGAACAGGATCTGCCACGTCAGCAGGTGGGGAAAGAGAGAGGACGGTGGCGGAAGGGTAGCGTGTTTGGTCAGGAACGCCCTCACGCTGGTCCTGAAAGGTCCAACGTCGTCGTAGGCAGCGTCGCCGGAGGAGGGGAAAGTGAGGAAGTCGTTGATATCGGCCGTGACTCGCCTCTTCATCCGCTTCAAAGGCCGTCCATTCAAGACCATGCTGTTTCTTCAGATCTAGGCGCGTGTGGGTCAGATCTGGGCTGATCGAAGCTTTCTCTGTTTCAGATCGGAAAAAAAAAATACAGATCCGATGGTTCGGATTAGCAAGATCAAACGACACAAAGAAAGATTTACAGTTTGTATATATACATGTGTTTGTATTTGAATATACTATCAGATTTATCAAGAAATCGAAGAAAACAAGACGGAGAGAAAGAGAGGAGGGAGGTGGCTGAAATTAGGGTTTCTGTTGTTGATGGTATTTGGGACTTTTTGGTACTTTTATATATATATATATTAAAAATTTGTTTGTTTTTTATATTTCTGTTTTGGATTTCGAGAAAATAGGTTGAGTCGGTTTGGAAGAGAGAGAGAGAGAGAGAAAGAGAGAGATTGGATTTGAGGATGAGAGAGAAATCTTTCTTAATCGTTAAGCGACTTTAGCGCTTCCAACTTTTTGAAAAAATTATTTAGGATTTTGTGGTTGGGAAATTACTATATAGGCCTAGTACTTTTTGATTTAGAGGACCTTCCGCGAAGTTTCGCGCTTTATTGATCTTCGTCTCTCTACACTGAAGTCTCTCCAACTGCTTTTTATTTTTACTCTCTTCATCTTAAAATATTAATTTTTTATTATTTTAAAATATTAATTTCCTTTTAAAATTAATTACTGAAATAATATAATTTTTTTATTTTATCTTTTTCTAAATTAATTAATATTAATATTTTTGAAATGTAATAATTATACTACTAAAAATTTCTTTAAAATGATTAATATTTTGAGACGAATGGAATATTTTGGCCTTGTTTGGTTTATTTTTCAAAAAAAATTTTGGAAAAAATTTTCTACAAATAAATTTTTGAGAGTAATCAAACCAAATAAAATTTTTCAAAAAAAATTTCAACATTTTATTTGGTTACTTATTTTTCAAAATCACTCTCTCTCTTATACACATCAAATTAATTATTTTTTTTAAAACTCTCTCTTCAAAACAATTTTTTAAAATCATTTTTGAAAAAAGATAAACCAAACAAATTTTTGTACTTTTATCTCAAAAATTACTCTACAAACACAAACCAAACACATTCTACATTTATACGATGAATGGAAAGCTGAGGGGTAGTTTTGGAAATGTGAATGTAAATTTGTTAGACTTCTGATGGTGATTAGAAATGTTGGCTTCAATGGCTTTTCATTCGTTCGAATTTAAGTCAAGTTCAGCCTCTTTAAAAAAGTTTAAAAAGTCAAAAAATTACTATCTTATTTAAATCACATTATCTTATTTAAGTCACATTATCTCTTTATCACATCATTTTAAACCCAATCTATACTTCATAAAAAGTCAAAAAGTACACTTATTTAAGACACCTCAAATAACTCCTTAAATAGATTATAAAAATAAAAAAATAAAATACGGGTCGAGTGAGTGGTACGGGTTTGCCAATTGATGCAAATCAATTTGGCAATTTAGGCTTTACTATTATTTTTTTTTGAAATTATTTTAGAGTAATGTTTTACTATTTTAGATCTTATTTGACTTTGTTTGATTTCACTTTTTAAAAAAATAAAAAAAAAATCATATTTTTTTATTTTTAGTGAATTTTTTAATATTTTAACTTTTTTTTTAGTTTTTAAATATACTTAATATTAATACACTTAAAAAATATATTTGTAGAAAAAATATTTAAAAAATTCACTAAATATAAAAAATATTGAAAAATATATAAAATTTCAATACATATTCATTTTCTTATATATTTATTGATTTTTTAAAAAATATTTTTTTACAAATATTTTACTTTTTGAGTACATCTAAGTTATGTGCATCTAAAAAGTAAAAAAATTTACTTAAAATATTAGAAAATTCACTTTAAAAAAAAAAACTCAATTTTCAAAAAATTTGAGTTCAAAAATAAAAACCAAATAAGGTGTTGAATTCATTTTTTTTTTATCTTCTTTTTAAAGACCAAACTTTCATATTCCATAAATAATTAATATTATTACTAAATAAAATATATATTTAGGGTAAATTACACTAACACCCTATAAGATTTGGTCCAATTACATTCCACCCCCTATCATTTTGAAAATTACATTCTCATCTCTGTGGTTAATAGTCTCATTCACAAAATTCCCTGCATATATAAAAGACAACAATTTCTAGTAGAAAAATAGAAGAAATTACATTTAAAAATAAAAGTAAAACAAAGAAAATGGGAGAAAAAAGATGAAGTAAAGCAAAACAAGAAAAGAGAGAGTGCATGAGTCCAATATTTTCATTCGGTCTAAATAATTATAATAACAGAAGGTTAGTATAATTTCCTAAATATCAAGGGGTGATATGTATTAAATCCAAATTTCAGGAAGTGTTAGTGTAATTTATCCCTTTTTTTACATACAAACCACAAACATAATATCATTTTTTTAAAAGGGAGTCAGCGGATCAGGTTAGGTCGAGTGGTCCTCCATTCACCATCTGTCTGAACATATATAGATTTAGAAAATATCCATCGATATTCGCCTGCCTATACTATCAAAACTACTTAAAAACGAGTAGATTGGATCAAGTTGGATTAAGTCGATTTTGACGAATCGATCGGTTCATGAGCATCCCTAATGGTAATCATGGGCTTGGGTTGTTGCAATTAGGAGTAAAATTATAATTAAACTATGGATGACAGAACTGTTTAAGCGATTTTAACATGTTACTTGATTAATTTGAAATAAATTTTATATCTTATATCTTATATTGATTTTTATTTTGATATTAATTGATAATAAATATATATATATATATATGCATTAACTATATTAAGGAGGCTGACTTCAAAAGTGAACTATAAATTTGAAACGATAGATAAAATTAAACTCAGATTAGCTGATAGATTAATACAAATTAAATTATTTTAATAGATTAATATGTTTTGTACCCTTTAATTGTAATATTTGACATCCCTTTGGTGTACTTTTTTTTTCTTTTGTTTTTTGAGAAAAGACATCTTGGCTTGAATGGGTAAAAAAAGTCGCGAATTGAGCGCGGTATATTGGGAATCTTATGGGGTGCTATATAATCACCTCACCCTCCAGGTGACGCTGTAATTACACCTTTTTGTGCCATCAATCCATTATTCAATAATCTTTGAATTTATTTTCACAAAATAGGGCCTCTTTAATTGTTGATATTAATATCAGTTTAATAATGACAGAGAGTTTTAATTTTAGAATTTTAAAGACAATTCTAATGATATAGTACGAGAAAAAAAATAAAAATATAGGCACAAATATCATATCACATGTGGGTCCCACTCCTTACCACATCACTAGACCTAAAAAATTAGAACTTTCAATCTTTACTCATACCAGTTTCAAATTTAAAGGCTCTCTTTGGATATTTTTTTTGAAAAATATAAATTAATTTGATAAATATAAACATTAAAAAGATAAAATCATGTGAAAATAATGAGTATTTTTTTTCATTCATTACACCAAATTAATTTTGAGTGATTCTAATTACACCACTACTTTATCTCTTTACACATTCCATCTCATTACACCACTAAAAAAAATGTGATATTATATTACCAAAACTAACCCTAAAATAAGACTCTTCAAAACCCTTTCATCTCTTTAAACCAATAGTTTTTAGTGAAAAAAATAAGAGAACAGAGAAAGACGCAGTAAAGGGAAAAAGAAAGACGTAGGGAAGATAGTAAATGGAGCCCACAACGAAGTGCTTGTTCGATCACATAGTGCTAAACAATTTACATTCATTTGGTGTTATGTTACCAAAAAAAATAGATTTCTCTAACGTTTTGTTGGTGTACATTTACAGAGCCACTTTCTTCCAAACAATGATTTTTAAATTTGTGTCAAGCATATTCGATAATGCAATGCTAATGAATTTGAATTAATCCGATGTCATGTTACCAAACAAACTTTTTTTTCCCCAGTAATATGTTGCCATTCGATTGGATGATAACAAGAAATTAATTTGGGGCTACTTGTGAAGTGCCTGTTTGGTGATACATTGCTATACAAATTAGATTACTCTAGTGTCATGTTACCAAACTCTAAAAACATCCATAAAAAACATACATTGTTATACATTGAAAGATTTACTTTTTCCTTCAAGTATCCATAAAAAAATCCATAAATCAAACACGCATCCATAAAATTATACATAAAAAGTATTCATAAAAATATCAAGTGTATGAACATCCATAAAAGCATCCATAAAATCTGCCATTGTTTGCATCCACATGTTATCACAATTCATCTATATCGATAGTTTCGGTAATTATTACATCAGGGCTGACCAAGCATACGGAATTGATGAATATGAGTAGTATATGCTTTCTCTCATCCACTAGGACATGGGTGATGAAAACGAATCAAATTATTTGTTATCGGAGGTACTGGATGACCAGGTTACAAATAGACCTATAACAAAGATATGAATAAGTAGAATTGCAAAATAAGCTATGGTAATAATCTAAGTAGGCTCGGTAGTTTATACCTGAATGAAATGGTTTCCATTTACAATCCTATGCAGATAGGAATCGGTGTGGCTACTGTGCGAGGGTGCACAGCAGCCACTGCTGTGCAGCCATTTGGGCCCTTTTCGGGGCCCATTTTGATAATCCGAACCGTTCACATTTTAGAATACATCAAATAGAACATACCTATAAAAAATTAAATTAATCGGATATCTTTTATCTATTCATCCACTCACATTTGTATTTATTTTAATACTTTAAATTACAATTGTTATTTATTTTTGTAGATACAAATGTGAATGAATGAATGGGTAAACGATATCCGATTAACTTGATTTTTTACAGGTATGTTCTACTTGATATATTCTAAAATGTGAACGGTTCGGATTATCAAAATGGGTCCCGAAAAGGGTCCAAATGATTGCACAGCAGTGGCTGCTGTGCACCCCCGCACAGCAGCCACCCCAATTCCATGCAGATATCTCTTCGATCAGGTGTTGCAATTGATACTGATCTAAGTGGTAGAAACATCAAGCAATGTTGCATGGATAAATGATAAAGAACAACTCGGTCTTCTTCCCAACGTCAAAAACTCATTTAATTAATACTTGACGACTACTAAAAATTTAAAGACAATAAATATATTTATACGTCAAATTATTGATAAAACTCAATACAAATTAAAAATAAGAAAAAATCGTATTCCTCAAAAACTTAACAAGCATCGTCTGTAATGAATTCATGATTGGAGTCTACTAATAATGTAGTACTTGCATTGTTGCAATGAGTAAAAGTATAATCCTTCCAATTAAAAAAATAAAAATTATAAAAAAATAAAACTGAAAATATACAGTAATGAGTAGTCGAAAAAATTAAAAAAATTCAGCCTTGGA